TATATATATATATATATATATATATAATTTTTGACAGTCAATGATTTAGTTAAAAAAAAAAATTGAAGTACCTTCTAATTTACTGCTGAGGCATGTTAGTTAATTCATGAAAATAATGTATGAACTACCCTGCAACACATGTAACATACTTGGAGCGATGTGGACTTAAGGGAGCCCTTTGCTGCCCTGTGACTACCGCACATTCAGCAACAGACTCCATCTGGTTTTACAGTCCAAATACACAGACAGAGAAAAGCTGTGTTCCCCAGTGTTCCCCCTGCCTGTCACTGGCCCTACCTCATGTTGTGACATTAATTATTGTGTTTTTCCATATGTTCCATACATGCAAGGCCAAGATTCATCTTTCATCCAGTCAGCCTGGAAACTTGGAACTCAAATCCCTATAAAGCAATGTTTTATTTAAGGTTATTTGTCACAGTCTCCTTGGCCATTTATTTTTCTCCAGCAACAGCACATTTTACAGATTTACTTTTGGAAGAATTACATACTTTTCTATTCTTCTATAATGCACTTTCTGCACTTGCACTTCTGTAAAAGCTCAGTAGGCATAAAATGGTTCTATATATTTAGTTTTCAGTCTAGCTCGGCACCTCTAGACAGATCAATATAGTAGTTTTAAGTAGGTTTAGCGTGCTAGCTTTGAGAGAAACTGGGTGCGACTAAGCCAGGAAAGGGTCTTCAGGGGGAGCAGCACATGCTGAAAAAGTGGATATCATAGCAGACCTCAGCCAGAACATGGGGGGAAAAGTCATTGCTCAGAGCAGGTTGATTTCATGCCCCAATGCATGCGGCAGTAATTGCACCCAGACCCGTTTTTATTGCGAGTTGATTTTAAGGAGGGCTGAATGGAGAAACATTCTGTAAAGTGTTTATTTTGGGGGATGACCTTTATTAACCCATTTTCCAGGCAGGTTCCCCTGAGGTGGCCTGGCTCAGTGCTAGATTAACCATCGCAGGCCCATGGTAGCTGTGCTGCTCCCCATCATAGAGTTTCAGGAAGCAGAGAATGACAGTAAGATTGGACCTTGTAACATGTGTGCAAAACCCCCACGCACCACTTTTGAGATGTAAGCTACTCACCAACCCCTGACACACACATGCAGTGGGTTTGAGTTGATGTTCCCAGTAGGCAAGTCAGCAACAGACTGGATGGTGAAGGTTAATGTGTGAGTGGAACAGACAGTCAGAGAATGACATTAAAATGAAATACAGCAAGCGGCGAGCATTTTTCAACTGCCTGCTATTTATCCTCTGCTGAAAACTGTTGTAGTAAATTACTGGATTGTCTTCAGGCTTTTATCATCTAAATAAATGATCATCCAAGATAATGTGAGAATTTGATCTTCCCTTGAGGTGAGGGTCGCCTGTGTAAAACATTCAGCAATCCTCTTGCTAACATGTTGTATCTACTGCAACAGCAAGCGTGCCGGTGAATGCTTCTCTCAACACGTACAGTAATTCTCCAAAGAATCCGTACAGACCTACTGAGCCTCTCTGCTCTCTCTCCTTCATGTTGCTTTTTCTAACGGATGCTGGAACAATATGTGCATATGTGGGGGTCTTTGATGTACCGAGGTGAAATTGTGGTTTGGATTAAGGGCAGGCGTAGCTCGGCCAGGTATTGTGTGAGCACAGGACGGCCGTCAGGGCCGCAGAGCCCCTGTCAGCACGCGTTAGCAGGAGCTGTGATCTGGCCTCCCTCTGAGTGGGCTCTGTGTTTCTGTGTACCATGCCTATGCTTAGGCCTCTCTCTGATCTCTGCTCCCTATCTGTTCAGCAGGTCCAGGGTCACATGTCTCCGCTCATGATCCCCATTTTTCCACACGACCAGCGCACTCTGGCAGCAGCAGCTGCCGCCCAGCAAGGATTTCTCTTCCCTCCGGGAATGTCTTATAAGCCAGGTATGCAACTTAAGTATTCATTTTGTCCTCCGCCTTTTCTCTCTTGCCATGGCCTTTTACCTTACACTTAAATTCATAATTATGATTTTTAGTCTAAAAGTTGCTGCAGTCGCACAGCAACAAACAAATGCTTGATTCACACCCGAGGCCGCTGGCATGCTCGGCTCTGTCTGAACTTGGACTTGAGACCAAGGACTGGGAATGTTATAGTCCATGTGGAACAATAGGTATAGGTAGAGAAGCAATGGAACGTCAACACGTCTTCAACATTAAAGAATATTTCAGGACTGTGCTGGCTCTGTAATTGTTTTGTATCCACTGTCGGAGGTTTGGGAGATGAACCCTGCATGAAAAGTCTTCCCCTTCTTATTTGCATAGAGAGCAACTCCCCTCTTACAGTTTCACACAAGTATGTCTTTTGATAGTGAAATTAAGTAATTAAAAGACAATTACTAGGTGGATAGCTTGGATGATGTAAGGAACAGGTTTTCCTGGATGTATAACTGTTTTTATTGCCTGTAACAGCATGCCTCTTTCTTTCCATTTGTCTGTTTGAATTAAGTAAAAGAGAAGCCTTCCACAGCCTTCAAAATAGAAAAAGGTTTTTAGAAAAATTGTTTCAACATGTTAACCAATGCCCTGCCAAAGCAGTAACCTCATACACCCTTATATCCTTGAGAGAATTAAAGATGTGCCACCACATACTAGTTTGAATGTATTTATTTAAAATATAAAAACAAATAGGCATGACCTACAATGCTTCCTTCTTCTCATTCTAACCTTTTCCCCTCACATGGCTTTCTTGATCCCAGAGCCTAGCAATTTTTTTTTAGATGTGTCTCTTAGTTATCTAATCAAATTGTTGTTTTTGTTTTTTTAGTTCTCACTCCCATACATGCAAATAGAAGGATACAGTGAAAACCTCACTGTCCAGAAAAGTATTTATTAGTCAGCTTGAAAAAGGAAAGTCCTCCTGGTTGTTATAAAACAGGCCCGGAACAAGGAAAAGGTCTAAAAACAGAAAAAGAAGCACTGGGAAGTCAGCAGGTTTGCAGCAGAACATTAAAAGGTGTGGTAGTGCAGTTAATGAATTAACTATAAAACCACAGAATGAAAAAGAAAGTCAGCTATTTTGAAACTATGGACCCATGACAGCTTAAACAAAGTGCCTGAGGGGGAGTCTTTTACTTGTGTGCTTTCTGCAATAGGTCTGACATGGAAAATGTTTTAGTTCAAATAACAGGAGCTATTACGGAATCATGGTCAGGGGTCGCCATGTGTATAGGTCCTGCATAATTCATGAGTTCATGAAGAAAAAGCAAAGGGGGTCTGAAAATGACTCGTGTAGTCAGGAGAGGTATTTGAAAACCTCTATTATTTCTCCACGGCCAACACAATATACACCATATATCCAGAAAGTACAATGTTATCACCACCACCTGCAGGGTATACAGGATGCTGCCGTGTCCTTTCTCCATGAAGTGAGTGGCCAAGCATTCACTTCCAAGACTAAGGCACACTAATCTGATATCATTATGAGAAAGCTCCCAGGGACCACTGCTTATGACCCCCAGCCCTGTGGTGCTCACATGGCAACAGAGTCATTCTGGCACCGTAGTGGTAAGTCATCACCCCATCCACTGGCTGTGCTCAATGGCCTGGTGTTGCATGGTAGACAAGCACAGTCATAGAAACATCAAGTCATCTTCTAAACAAATAGACTTCCCTGTCTGTTTGCACTGTTTACACAGACATGGCGGCATTCAGTCTGATGTGCCTCTAATGGACTTGCAGAATGACCCCATAGTCTTTGGGCTCCTCTGCCAGTCTTCCACATAGACATCCTGCTGACAGTTGACATTTCCCTTCTGCTATTTTATTTCAAATCTTGTATTTTTACCACATTTTAGGTTTTTAGGACAATGTGTTTTGTTTTTCTTGTAATTAAATGAAGTTTGGTGACTTAAGTTTTTTTGTTTTACTCTATGGCCTCATCTGATATTTCTTATTTTCATGTAAGCCTGTTTTTCTGCTAACAGCTTTGGTATTTCAATAGAATGTAAAAGCCAGTGAAAAGAGAAGATCAAGTTTGAGGGTTGTCGTCATATACTTCATTCATCATCATTTGATCTGTTCTAAGAAAGGTCTCCGCTACATCTGTCAACCTTCAGCAGATCTATGACTTATATTTCATGGCACCGCATGCGCAGGGAAATACAGCCTGATGTGACCATGGCGTCACCTGCACCCCCACCCTTTGCATTCAGAGTCCAGGCTCTGGGCATGGGACCAGCCATGGCCAGTAAAATACAAAACACAGTTTTAAATGTAATTCCCTTTCACCAGTGACGTTAACCTGGCACAGCGCCCATTCTGCTGGAGTCTGGTGCCTCGACTGTGTGCCCCCAAGACTGAGACCTTGGAGCCCGAGACCCCCCCAGCAGTGGTGGTGTGCTCACTTAGCACATGACTCTCCCCAGGTTTCACATGACATCCAAAGACATCCAGCCATTTATTATTCCCAACCCCTACGTCACAGACGGCACAGAGAGAGGGAGATGGAGAGAAAGCGATACCAAAAAAAAGGGAGGTGTAGAAATAACCACAGTGCACCCCCGCACATCCAAGCCAGCACTATTTGAAACCACTTCTGCTGTGTGATTTTATTTGCTACTAAATGGGGATTGAATTTCCATGGCCTGTATCACATTGTGCTGTGCTGTACAAGATTGCAAAGTGAGGCGAGCAGGCGAGGGCAAAGTGAAAGAGAAGGTATATACATTTACCTTGTCTGTGGCTTAATGGCTCCATATGTTTGTGAGATGAAGTGACAGGCAGAAGTGGGGTCTGAGCGAAGGGCAACTACCCCCTCCCAACTGTCTTTGTGCACCCCACCTCCTCCAGACACATCCTTTAACCCCCCCCCCCCCCCCCACCCATGAACGCTGCGCTGCCGAGTCTCACTGGGTCTGTTCTGTCCCTCTCAACACACTAGGTTGAGTGTGTGAAAGTGTCTGGTACTCGGTTATACATCCTCGTGGATATCATTCATGCAGCAGCCATTTTTATATCCCTTGCTGACAAACGTGCTGATGGCAGGCCAACAGTAGTGAGTAGTAATAAATAGAGCTACCATTTGGAGAACCCATTCTTCCTTGCTTGATCACAGTGATACGCGAGATAAGAATGTGTGGGTTTTTTTCCAACCTTGTTATTGTGACTACACACTTGTTATAACCAGTTTGCATACAAGTGCTTTCACTGTGCTGCCAAAGCTATCACTCAGAAACAAACAATGTAGTGTTGAACAATAGCCAGGCAAGTCCACAGCTGTATGAACTGCCTGAGAGAACATGCTGGTCCTTTTACATCATCTCTAATGAAACACCAGGGGAGATATTCAACATGTATTCTGAACACACACACACACACACACACATGAACCTTAAAAGAACTTGTAAACAATGTAGTAGTTATTTCCAGGAGGAGTACTGTGCAGGTGGAGGAAGGAGGGAATGGTGTAGAACTACCTAAGTAATCCTGCTCCAGTCAAACCAGCTTACCCTTTTGTTCATGCAGATGTTTGGGCTTGAAGCCGAGGGCTCGTTGCAATGTGCCACATTGCTGTGGTAAAGTAGTGGATGGCCCAGGATCCTTGTTGGCACTTGCCTGGTCGCTGTGGGCCGGCTCATTGTCTGAACCTGTATGCATTGTGTCTCTCCCTCTCTGACAGGTGATAACTACCCGGTGCAGTTCATTCCATCCACAATGGCAGCTGCAGCAGCGTCAGGATTCAGCCCCCTTCAGCTTCAGGTATGTACAATACTATGACAAAGAATACTAGGGACGCCCGCCAAGCCCGGGGTAGATGGCTAAGCAGCTGTACGCTAAGTAATGAGCTGCACACTAAATAATCCTGGAGGCCCCCAGCTCACACACGCTTATCACCTTACATATGTAATTTATCCTGTTTTATAGAGGATTTATCCCCACTAGCTCTAGCAGACAGAGGAGTTAGGAAGATAATAGTTATTAAAGAGAATGAGAATCACTTTAGTTGCTTTAATCGCCTGCCAGTGAATTTATCAGAAGATGATTGACTGTGAAAGCAAAGAATCTCCTTATTAATGCTTTTGTCTATTAGAGCCACTGTAATATTTTATCTCTGCGAGGAAGACAACTGAAGGGAAATAGTGGGCAAACAATCTGAGTCATTTTAATATATAGATGTGTTGTGTTATACACAGTGAGGCTGAGTAGGGTGTTGTGCCACATAAAATGTTGGGATAGGCTCCAAGCCCTACAGGCTCCTCCAGGACTTTTCTCATGCAGCATTTAAAAAAAGCTGAACCCAGGTCAGGGCTTAACCTGAGGCCATAATATTTAATAAAGATAATCGTCTTCGTTCCATCCTTTAAGTTGTCACTACTGTTACCAGGGCTTCACTGAGCTTGTGCATAATCTTTGTTCCCTAATTAGTGATAATGATTCCCTTGTTAACTTTTATTCTGACTTTTATTTCCATAAACAAAACTATACAAGTAGAAACGGTAGGCTGAATAACAACCCTATTTATTCAGCTGCCCTCCTTCTCTAATTATCAGTTTCCTTTGCAGTTGGCAGTAATTGTAGATCTTAAGTCTATTTGAAATGATAAATCCGTTGTTTGGAGACAAATGAAGCAAATAAAGGAGTGAAAAGCATTTATCCTGACAGTTAGTTAAATGGCCAATGCCGCTTTGTCAACAACAGGCAACCATTATTGAAAGCTGCAACATGTGATGCTCAACAGCAGAAAGAAATATGTCATGACAAAACAAGAGAGCTCAAGACCGAGGGGGAGGAACCCTTAGCACACTGATATATGTGGCATTTGTCCTTCTGAAGTTACCGCTGTCAGTGTTAACGAGCCTTGGCAAGTTCTAACAATGCACGCAGCTGGCTGTGAAGAGTTGTGCGTCATTATGCAGCCATGAGAGGAGCTATTGGAAGCATGTAAGGTGTTAAATGAGTCTGCTCATGTTTGAAGATGTGTGTCTGTGAGAGCAAAAGGTGGAGACTGCGTATGTGAATATGTTTCTGGAGTGTATGTGTGTCGCTTAGTTTGTGTATCATGTAGAGGTCCATTGGAAAGGAGTGGTAGTTCAGATAGGCATGCAGAGTCTATTTATAATGGTGTATGAGGTCAGATGAGACAGTCATATATCTGAAGGTTGGGGTGAGGAGGGGAGAGTGATTAATTCTGATTATGTATCTAACCCTGGGAATGGGGTAAAAACAGTGCCTCCAAGACCATGACTTGGCTGACCTTTACAAAACACAGTAAACAAAAAGAGGTGCATTTTCCATTAATTGAAGTCTGTCAGCCTGTCACATATTCCGCCTGCTGGCTGCTATTTACCCTGCATAGAGACTCCCCTTAAAACAGCAAGGCAAGTCAAACATGCCCTTTTCTACATAGCTGGGATCAACAAACCATGTGACTGCCATCACTTACTCTACAAAGCACTGGGAGCCTGCTATGATTAAAAACATCATATCAAGCCAGACCTGGAATTAAGTTAGTGTTGACTCCTCTCTTTGGAGCAATAATAGCTTCAGCATCCTCTTCTCCTTCAAACTGAAACTATTGAAAAGTATACTCCAGTACGTGTGTGTGTTTGAGTTTGACAGAGAGGGCTCGGAGGTACAAATGACAAAATCACCAGAGGAGAACAAAACAGAATAAGAACAATTTAATTTGAGTTGAAAGTAGTGCAGTGAATTATCTGAGCTGCACTCTAGAGGTGTCTTAGGGCTCCTGTAGAAAAAAAGAAATGTGACAGCTACTTTGAAATTAACACATTATGTCCAGTGTTATGATGGTGCAACTTGTAATTTAAACCCCACTGGTAAGATTGTTTGGGATAAAACATGACGAAAGTTAAATAAGGTGATTTAAGCACAGTACTCCACTAAATATTTAAACTGTTCTGAACTTTTCTAGTTTCACCTCCAAGCCCATTCTTCATCAACACACACACAAAATCCCCCACACATATGGCTGAATAGGCTGCCCCCCAAAATTAAAATATCTCTTCCTGTCAGCTGCATGGCAAGGTATAATTTTCACCAATTTACTCAGTTTAGATTGTGCATTATATGAACCTTAAAAATTATCTTATTGGAAGAATTAATTCCCACAATGCTGAAGAGGTAATGTGATCAGCCATCCAGTCAGTGAGGCTAGCCGCTCCGTCAGTCTTAATGTTGGCCACGTAGCCGCTTCACAATCTCCTCTGTCATAATAGTCTGGGATCCTTCCCCCCTATTCCCCGCCCTCTCTCTCCAAAGAGAAGAAAACCCAACAAGGTAACAAAGGCTTAGAGCTGATGGATGTAAATGAATCTTCCAGGATGCGTTTGAGTGTTGGAGACTGTAATTTGCTTGTCAATACGAGGTGGTTGCATCACTCCGGTGGCTGGCAGTCTGCAAGTGGCTGTCACCAGGCATTGCTGTACCACAAGGCAATTTCACTCAATGTTTTCCTGACAGATTGGCTCTCGTCCTCAACTCACAGGAGAGGAGGCGGGTAAACTATCCAGCGCGACATGCCCCTCTTCATTAGTAGCCACACAGAGCGGGGATGAGCCCAGGACCAGCAGGAAACAATGGCTCGATCCCTGCCTGTCCTTCCCTGATTACAACTGACACCTCTCACCTAACAGAGGAAATTGTGTTCAGATTGTACCCCAATCTGTCCCGACACCTACTATATTCAGTTGAGTGAAGAGGCAAGAAAGGGATTTCCCTAATTCCACAAAAGAATTTTCTATTTGGGATAGCACTTAATTTGCTGTGTGTACGCTACACCTTGCATCGCCCGTCCTTTTTACAGAACCAGTAAACAGGAGGAGGACCTTTGAGAAAGTCCCGTTTTTTATCATTGGAAGCAGATTTTAGCGTTTAAGCCATTTTAAAGAAAGTGTTATTGGATAAAACAGAACATCTGGGTTCTCTGTATGCAGTATCACAGTTAGGACTAAATAAATAGAAACCCTCTGCTTTCAATCAGTCAAAGCTCCATTTTCTATCGCTTGCTGTCTCTGTCTCACTGTCTTGCTTTTCCAATTTCCCATCCACATCTTGAACCCTCTCTCAGTATCTTAGTTTGTGTATTTCTCTTTGAATTACTCCCATCCTCTTTTCTTTGCTCATTCTGTCTGTGTGTTGCTTCCCCCCCCCCCCCCCCTGAATTGTCGAGGCCCATCACATCCTTATGCTTTATAGCGCTGGAAGTCGAGCCGCTTGAGTTAAGACTTAACGCCGCAATTACCATCCGCCGTATTTGCCATGGCATCTTTCTAGGCCCATGATAAACCTGGGCCCAGCCTCAGCTAATGCTCCCACTGTAAAGATGAAAAGCAGCCCACATGCTCAGCGACAACCCGGACCAGATCTCAAGCAGACAGACACATCTGAAGGAGTACTCAGAGGCTTAGACTACTAGAGTGATAAGAAAGAGTGTTACACAGTCAGGGACAAACAGGAAGAAAATGGGAGAGCAGCAAACCTCACATTATCTTTTGTTTGGATGTAAATGCCTCTGTAGTACAGATGTGAAGAAACGGCTTCCATCATTAACAAGTGAAGCACTTTTGACTTTGAAAGAGAGAGGGAGAGAGGAGGAGGGGAGAAAAGAGAGTACAGACATACTGTAGAGAGCAGCTGTTTCTGTGTTTATGAGCAGAGGAGCTCGGTCTTTGAAGGTAACCCAGAGCAGTGCAGCGATGCTAGCTGTGTGTGGAAGGCTGGCTAATAGGACAGCTATGTGAGCAGCTGGATAGAGGCAGTGGTGAACAGAGGGACAGATGGACAGATAGAGTGGATAATGCAGTGAGCTGCACTGAATGGGAGGGCTGGCTCTGGGGCCCCTGGGCCTGGAGAACCCACACACACACTTACAGATGATGGACTGTGTTTGTGTGTGAATGTGCGAGAAAGAGAAACTGATAGACTTCAACATATACGTATACTGTAGATGTAAGATAGAGAAAGGCAAGGGGAGGGGTTAGAGTAGAGCAGGTTGGGTGCCAGCAGATGAGACAGATGTTGGGCCATACTGGAAAGCATCGGCACAGTGCACCAGGACGCCTTCCTCCACTCCAGACATCTGGGCCTAGCCTGGGTCAGCCTGCCCGGTCGCCCTGGGCAATGAGCCTGTACAAGCCTTGTGGCAAACGGGGCTGGCGCTGTACTGCCTTTTAAATGGTGCGGTGCACTGAAGCACACTTAATGCCCTCATATCCAGCCCAGTGCTCAGCACCCAGGCCAGGCAGAGGTGAATGAGACATTGACAAACAGACACACTCGCACACAAAGAGACAGGAATGTTTTCAAGAGTGTGGCAGTCATTAGACAATGCTCACCTCATGTAAAATGCAGAGGATATTAATTGGATTAGGAATTGTTAAGGCAGTTTGTTTGTGTATTTCCTGCAGTTATAAATGCGCACTGCTCCATCATTGCTGGCAGCAAAGAATCTGACAAATATCTGCCGCTGTATTTTCCAGCACTATTGTCATGCTGTGACTGACTTTTTAAAAGTAAAAAGAATATAGACATTTGTTTTTTCACTGAAAGTTTTTTTTCTTATTGTAAAGCAATATGCTCCATCGTTTGCAGAAGGAAAAAAAATATTAATGAGCACTACAAGGAAATCAATGCTTTTTTTTATAGTATCAGCTTTGTTGTTTTACTAAACAAACAGGGGCAGATGGTCTTAGTTGCTTATCATACTTCTGAGATGTCTAGCATTATTGGCAGAGTGTGTAATTTCAGTGTCATGTCGCAGGCAGAAAAGTGAACCTCCCCGTTTAACCTCTGCTGCCTTCAGAGGGCTTGTTTTTAATTACCAGAGGCTAACAGGCTGACCTTGGGCGTGCTGCACTCACTTTGAATCCATGCTTGCTGAGATCTGCTCCGCTCTACTGGGAAGCAGGGAATGATGGGGTCAGAAGGAAGACCTTAGATGTTGTATTAGCATGTCTTCTCATTTAAGTGTCTTGTATCTGTATTATGAAATAATGTTTTACGAAGAAAGGCAAAACCTGTCAAAGCATACTTTTTTTAACACCCACATTAGCTGTTATATTCATGTTGCTATTTTTTTATTTGCATACAAGATGTCCCATAGTGTGCGGCTCTATTACATGTGGCTTAGAAGATGTATATTTTTCCCTGATCAAAAAAGCAAAACAACTAGTGTAAAGGGGGAAAAAGGGAAACAGAAGGGTCTTGAGCTCCACTCAGGCCTTTGCCTACTCCTATAGTACCCCAGAGTTTGAGTATTGACTTTCAGCTTGACCCTAAATACCATGAACCTTTTGCCGCCCCCACCTGGCAAGTAGATATGATAAGGGGTTATTAGATGTGAGATAGTCAATTGGGGGAAGTGGGCAGATGTCTTCTGCTTAGGGAGGCCAGCCTTGGCAGGATGCATAATCCCTCAGCTTTTGACACCACAATGCCTTTTAAATTGACAACTTCCTGTTCTGTTTTATGAGGTTGTTGTTTCTAACTTGATTATGTATTGAGAGTCAAACAATAATTTTGTAATGCATTGTAAATTACAATTTATTTTTCACCGAGACATACCCCAATGCTAAGGCAAAGGTCTCCAGACTTCACTCATTGAAGGTATTGCATATCTACCCTTGAGCAGTGTATGGTGGGTTAACACACCTTCCATCTGTCTCTCCCCCTGATTTTATTTATTGTTCTTTGGCTCTTGGAGGCAGAGTGTTCCTTGTTAAAAGGATAAACATTGATTCTCACTCCATGGCACTGAATCTCTAATCAGTGCTGAAACGGGGCACCCAGACTGCGTCTAATTTTAGGCAATGCCTAATTATGCTCTTTTTCCGGGACAATAAAGTTCTTCCCACTTAAGGTCAGGGGCATGCTCGTCAACAGGCTGTTAGCAAACATCTGACTCCACTTCCGCTCCTCTACTAACACGAGCCTGAAGTGACATCCAGTGAACGGAGACTCCCCTCTCTCTCTCTCTCTCTCTGTCCCCCCCTCCCACACAAACACACTGACACGCAGAGTGCCTTTACCACTGACATTAACTAAGTCTAGCTCAGATGTGAAGAAAATAGAGTTGGCTACTGTGTCTGTTCCTGTTGGAGACAAAAGGCTGTTTGTGAGGGAGGTGGGGGCAGTGCTATCATTGTAGGAACATAATCGGTCTGTCATTTCCGCTGCCCATGCGCTGTTGTTATCCCCAGGTCCCCTGGAAGAATGGACCTTTTGTACTGCCGCTTATGTGGCAGCGATAAAGTTTCTTACAGGAGCACATATGTGTTTATAACTGGAGATATGTGCGCGAACATAAAGTGCTTTGTTTGGCTTTAGTCTGCATCCACACTGTCAAAGGTGAGGCCAGCGGGGCCAGGTCACTTTTTCCCATCCACACAAACGCAGTCTGTATGTGACCAGTCGAACCAGGAAATGAAACCGGGTTTGCTGATTGTTCAGAGGAAAATAAATTAGATTCTTTCTGACAGCACCATCTGACTGGATAACGCAAAAAAAGGAGCAAAATAGCGGGAGGCCAGTGGGGGAGCTAAGGGGCGCTATCTGTCTGATGAAGTGCGGTCTAGGGCTACATGGAGTAACACTCTTTCTCAGACAGTAGCTCTATTTGGCAGACACCTGCCATTTGCAGCAGAAGACAAAAGCCAATCTCATACCTTACCTGGTGGCCAATTCATACAGACCTGAGGCAAAGAGAAGTCTTGGCAGTGCCGGAGTGCTGGGCACAGAAAAACAAGCACAGAAAATGATCATCAAAGCTGTCTGTCATTTGTTTCAGGTTGTAATGATATGAAAATGGGTGCGCAACTTCATGTCAAGACGTTAAACTGTAGCTTTATCCAAGATAAAGGATGAATTACTATGTCAAAAATCTGATCCAACCAACAGTTAGCAGTCTGTGGCTCACCAGATATTTTTCTAGTACTCCCAAACCCTCATATCAACGTCTTTAACCAACCCTTTTTAGTATATGCCACATAATCAGCCCAGTGGTGGAAATGTAAATTAAGCTTTCAGAGTTCAAACCTGTTACAGGCCCAACTGTTATTGAGTGCTTCGCCCAGTCATCTGAACCACCCTCTTGTGTGGTAATGTCACCAACAGTTGGACATCTTACTGATTTATCGCCAAGGAAAATAACGGTGATTACATCAGAGTTCTTTGTGCAGGTTTCTAAGCCGTAATAATGCATGTGTTTAATATATTCTGTGATGGCAGTCCAACTGAGGTTGGGTTTCTGACATTGTGGAATGGGACTGTCTCACATGGCTGTGTGGAGACGAATCCCAGGCCAGGAACTTCAATAGGAAGCTGTGTAGATCTAGAGAAATGAGAGATCTTTGCTAACACACTTGCATCCAGGCTGCAAACTTTTCTCTGTGATGAGTGGAAAATAGGGGCTCCAAGTATTTTGAATGAAAGCCATCTCTGTGTGGTTTTTAAGACTGCTGTCTCTCTCTGGGTTCAGCCTTTGAAATACAGTTAAGACCTTTGATGGAGGTTCTCTGCCAGCCTCATGGAAAGAGAGGAAAGACGAGAGAGAGAGAGAGAGAGAGAGAGAGAGAGAGAGAGAGAGAGAGAG